TTGTTGAACAGAAACAATGAAATGCGCAATGATTTGAATGAGGAAAAATTTGGCAAAGAAAATCATTGTTTGTGATAATTTTTGAAAATGAATCATTACTCAGTGGAATTTTCAGTGGAAAAAAAATGTTTGCAGTTTAAAAGTGAAAGACAAAAAGTTTGCATTTTCGTGTTTAGACATATTTCATCAGTAAAACAATCAACTATTTACAGTGAAAGAGTGAAATTTTCACTCCAACATTTTGATCGTTACATAAAGCTGTTCAACTTTTCCCTTTCAACCGAAAAATTCTGTCAATAAATTGGTTGAGTATTCGAGTGGTTATTAGTTTTGCTTTTGCTGGTCAATCAAGTTTGAGGGGGAAAAACAGCCGCGACAACGATAATTAAATTGTAAGAGAAAGAATCGAAAAAAATGGAGAAAACTTGATGAAACTTTGTTCAGCCTAAAAGTTTAAAAAATATAATTGCTAGAGTAATATTGATGAGGATAACCGCAATGATGATCTGCTGTCGACTTAACCATTCTTTAAACTGTGGATCTACAAAGTAGAGCAAAGGATTGTGGGTTAATCTTTCGGCTCTTTCCGCTTCTTGACGTCGTTGTTCCCGGGTTGCATGGGACAGAACTGAAACTTCTTCCCTGCTCATAACTGGTTCTTTAATGGGTTTAGAGGAAATTGACTGAAGTGAGGGTTTCCTTTTGAGTGGGCCACTTTTAGTGCCACCAGAATCATTTGGTTTACTGGCGTGTGAGGCACCAGTTGAGGCTGGAAGTCGATACAATGAAGCTGTTCTTAAGGGTGTTTTTGTTGAGCTACTTGACTCGGACGACATATCAATCGGTGTAGGCAGTGCAAGTCCAGCATCACTCGAGTTGTCCGTTTCACGGCCTGAATCAATGGATGAACTGGTTCCATAAATTTTATTCAAATCACTTGAACCCAAATTTTGTGATCTATTAATATTTAAGCGACTAAAGGAAGGTGGTTCGAAAGACGGAGGTTTGCTAACTTTACCGTAGCGAGAAACTAGTTTTTGATATTGGTCTAGATGGTCGGCCGAAGAGTCGTCATTATTGGCTTGATATTGTTGGTTTTGATGATGAATAAATGCATGTTGATGGCTACTTTGAGAAGGCATTTGTTGAGAGTGTAAGCTTGAGCTGGCACCTGATGGAGCCAGTGAATGAGGTAAGCGATTCGATTGGTTCTGCTGCTCTTGTTGATGACTTTGATCGAACGTTCGATTGGATTGACTTGTGAAAGAAGAATTTCTTGTATTCTCATTAAGTTGGGAATTAGATCCAGAACGGAAGGAACCTCGACGACCACCGAAAGGTTCATTAACGTCTAGATACTGTTTAGAACCAGTTAGACTAGAAGCTGTCTGAGAGGGTGAAGGTGAAGGTGAATGGAAACGTTGAGGTCGAGAGGCACCTCGACGTATGGAGGAAAAGTTAGAGAGTCGACCTCGCAAGGGTACATCAGTGAGTGCATGTTTTTAATGGCATCGGAGCCACCACATTGTTTAGCAATGCTATAACCCAAAGCGGAATCGGTTCGTGACTGAGCAGCAACTTGCTCTGATTGATCAGCCTTACTACGGGCCGTGGTTGTCCTGCTTATGGCAATGTCTGCCTTTTGAAGGGCAATCTGTTGAGCTTGACGAGCTGCACCAACAGCCGACTCTATCCTATCCCTGAGTTTAGAGGAACGTAAAACAAATAAGTGCTTCTTCTTGGCGTTGGTCACCAAACAATTGTTTTTATATTTTCCCTCTTCACGGGTTCCATCACGGAAAAAGGTTACTCCATAACCGTACTTTTTATTATTGTACCATTCACCTTCATACCGAAGTCCGTCCGATCTTTCACAAATTCCAAATCCACACCGTTTATCATTCTTCCATTCACCCATGTAAGTTTCGGTTGTTGAAGGGTCAGAGATTTCTGCCTCTTGGGCAAGGAACGAGTTGTTTGAAACTGTGTCTGGATCAATTGGATCACGAGATGAATGGTACAAATGTTTACTTGCAATGGGTGCTGAGGAAGCTGAGTCAATTGAAGAGGCAACTGATGATGAAGTTGATCTAGCTGAACGCATATCAATGTCACCTGTTGACTTTTGCTTCTTTAAACGAAATCCTTTTAAAAAGCCAGTCTTTTGTGCTGCTGGTGGTGACGTTTTATCACCCAATGAACTATGGCGTCGTCTCAAGGTTGATGTTGGTTGACTTTTAGCAACAAGAACAAAGCCACCTCTCATGGTTGCATCGCGTTTCACTGGATCATAAACTGACTCAGTTTCACTTTCCGTGTCGAGTGATTGAATCGACAAGCTGTTTGAGTTTTTCATTAAAACGTCTTTAGTAACACTACAATGGCCATAAGGAGCCGAATGACGCACTCCATAACCATGGCGCATACCACGAAGCCATTGTCCTTGATAAGTTCCACTGTCGGCATAAGTTTCAGAACCATAACCATCATGCAATCCATTGGCCCAGGTTCCCTCATATTTGGCACAAGAAACGGCTGAACCTCTAACACCATAACGACCCTTGTAACCCTGAGTCCATTCACCTTTGTAAATCCATTTACCACGAAACTCAACACCTAATCCATGCCGTTTACCATTAGACCATTGACCTTCATAAATGGCTCCACTTGGCCACTTATAGACGCCACAAACTTCAAATCCATAACTAAATGAGCCACTGTATTCACCTTGGCCTTTGGGTCCTAAATGAAAGTAAAGTATCGACAAAAATTAGAATCGGTGGAAACTCGACAACTTTGGAATCGAAGAAATAAGCAGAAAAGAAATCTGTTGCAATGAATAATCTATTTACCTGTACATACTCCATGGCCGTGTGCTTTTCCATCCTGCCAGCCACCAACATAGATTCCACCGTCGTCAAAGTCAAACCTTCCTCCGGCTGTAGATGTTGATGTTGGTTGAGGTGATGATGAAGGACTGGCTGATGGAGCTGGACTCGACTGAGCCTGAGACGGTTGACTATCTCGTTGAGGGAAATACTGTTGATCTATTGTTTGCTGGATTTGCTGATAAGTGATTGGTTCTTTCTTCATACTTCATTGTTTCACTTCCAACTCAATTCATAACTATAACGAAAATGAAATGATAGAGTAAAAGCCAAGAAAAAAAAGAAGAGAGAGAGAGAAAGAAGAAAAACAGGCAACGAGAAAATAAAATTCAGAGATGTTCATGAAGACTGATTGAGAGTAAAAGTTCTAAAGTTAGAAACAAGACACTGAAAAAGGGTCTAATTTTAGATGAAAATGAGCACACTTTGAATATCATCGCTTTTACTGAGGAATATGTTTTCTTGACCTAAATACCTTTCACACTGGTTCACAATTTACAGTTTCATTATGGTTTTGCCCTCATTTCATCACTCGAATGTTTATCTACCAAAACTGAACTCAAATAATTGATTTATACTGCGATGAAATCCTTTCCATGATACAAAAGCTTGCATCGACATGAGAAACTTTTAGTTCTTGTTGAGAAAATGAATTATCTTTTCGATTTCTTTCTTTCCCTTTGTCATTTCATTTCATTGGCATGAAGAGCTCATTACTGATTAAGCATTCGGAATTGAACAGAAAAATCGATGTCAACTACAAAACAATACTTTTACCTTTGTTTTGAATGAAAATTGTTCAACAAAATAAATAACAACGATGATGAGTATCAATACATTTGCAAGGTAAATAATGATATTGATGATTAAATGTTTAAAATGAAAACAAGATCAAACATTGATGTTCAATTGGAAAGAAGCAAATGGGAAATAAAAATGTAAACACAAAAGTTGAAGAAAAGTGAACAACGTTGGTTTCGTTGTGACGAACAACAAAAAGAAATATTTTTTGTCTTTTTTTCTTCTATTCTCTCTGTTCTCACTCATGTAACTTTACTGTTCCAAATGGTGATGATAATGATGATGGAGAAACTCAATCAAGGGTAAACTATCCCAAGTTACTTTGAGTCTCACTCGAAAAGAGAGGAAGAAGAAGAAAGAAGAAAAAGAAGAGAAGAAGAGAGTAAATTAGGATAATAATAATGTGCGTGTGTTACAAAAATAGGGACACATTTTGTTCTCCCTTTTATTCTGTCTACCAAATTGAGAGACAGAAGAAAAAGGTAAATAGAAATTTGGTCGACAGAGAAAATGGAAGCAAGAAAAATGTCGACACAAGAGAGTAACATTGGCAGGCATTTTCATGAATAAACAGGAAATTCGAGTCAACACTCCGCTTGATCGTTCATATTCATCCGATTAGTCCATTTCAAAATAACTTTCTTTACTCCTTTTCACGGAGCTTCTTTGTGAATTTGATCCAGTTAATCACACTGCGATCTTGACTCAATGAAAACATTGGTAATAAATCATGTTCATAAATGAGTGAGAAATTAGTTCTAATTTGGTTAAGCTTTTTCATAAAAATTTGAATCGGTTCTGAAAAAGTAGTTTTCGATTTGAAGAGATTTCGTAACTTCAAATACAACGACAATGGCCTTCGATTTTTATTGTAAATCAAGAATCGAATGAAAAGATCGAATAATACTCACTTCATTAGACGATTCGAGCATCAGCATCTTGTGGAGTAAAATAAAAGCTAATGTTGAATTGAAAGACACCAGATGGCAATGGAAAGAACATGTAAAGTTGAAAAACAAAGTCGTTTATCATTCCATGGAAAGTGTTATAATCTCACTAAAATTTGAAGATAATTCACTAAAATAACCATCAACTTTGTTCCGAGTCTGTGCGCCTCATATTTCAACATTGATAACTTGCCGGATTCAATCCAAAGGATTCCCAAGATTGAGTCAAGACTTGTGAATATACCAATTTTATCTTCTTTTCTACTCTCAAGATGACGCCACTGTATACATAAATCAAACACTAAATTACACAGATTTAAATAAAGATTTATTACCAAAACCTTTAAGCCAATGGATATGACACATGAGTATTCATGAAAGCTAAAAATGAGCTCTGACCACTCATTATCTAGATGACAGCAAAGTCACATCCAACGCTACGGTTACATTCATTGATGCATCAAATAATAAAGGTCATCGAATTGTCCTTGCCCTTGATCTTG